CAGCGCTTCACGGGGAACAAAGTCAGCTTCTTGCAAGAGGTGTATTTGGGGTGGGAAACATTCAAATGAGCAAAATCTTGAATATCTTCAATACAGTTTACTGTGTCACAAGGTGACTGACAAAAGGAACAAGTTCAATTAACATATGAAAAGTATCTGTTAAGGCGAGATGGATCCTGTAAATTGCATGCAAATATGAAATCGGGTGTAGCGTAGCAGCAAAGATTTGTCATAATCTGTCCCCAAGACAAGACGCAACCAATTACTATAATAAAAATCGAATGAAAAATCAGTGAGCTCTCTTATAATGCTCAGTTCATGCTATAATGACATTACCCTGTTCATGGTAACAGGAGCAACATATCTTGAAGGAACATCACAAGCAGAATGACCTCCTGTTTGGAACTTTTGCCTTACTGCCTATATTGCTATTCTCATAAGCAAAAGTACTGCTCAATTATGGAGTATAATGGAAGTAAAATACCACCACAGCACCAGAATCCAAATTTTAAAAATTGTAAAATCTTTATCTGTATCCAGGCTGCAAGCCAAATTCTATAACTTGAATTTCTTTGTCAGAGAACTCATCTTAAGCCCTTTCTGCAGTGTACATAAACTAGTCAATAAAAGTTAAGGAACGCACTGTAAAAACAGTGATATATTTGCATGCATTCTTTCGAGGTTTTACTTTTACTCGTAAAACTAGATATTGGGGAAATGTTACTTTATGACTAATGGGCTTGTACACACAAGGGTTAGAAATGCACGTGACTCCTGTGCGCTGAGCTGGGGAGGGGACAAAAAGGTTCAATGTCTTACATCAGGCAATTTCTGTCGAAGAAGCATGTAGAGCAACATATCTTGAAGGAACATCACAAGCAGAATGACCTCCTGTTTGGAACTTTTGCCTTACTGCCTATATTGCTATTCTCATAAGCAAAAGTACTGCTCAATTATGGAGTATAATGGAAGTAAAATACCACCACAGCACCAGAATCCAAATTTTAAAAATTGTAAAATCTTTATCTGTATCCAGGCTGCAAGCCAAATTCTATAACTTGAATTTCTTTGTCAGAGAACTCATCTTAAGCCCTTTCTGCAGTGTACATATTTGTCAAATCTTTACTGCTACAATGAAGTTTTTCCACCTTTAACTCTTTGAACCCCATCTGACGCTGGGAGCGTCCAGTACTAGTGACAACTGTTTCGTTTTATTTAGTGCTAGTTGTTGCTTGTTTCGCACGAACCAAGTTTTTTAGTAATGACTAAGCCTTTGTTTCCGTTATTTAGAAGTTGGAGGCAAGTTTTTGGGGTTGTAACAAGACATAATGCACTAGGTTTTGGTGACTGCAGAAAAAAACTCCCAGAAACGGTGGAAAAAACTCAGGGCTTAAAGAGTTAATTCTCTCAGTTCCAGAATTTTGGATACAGTAAGTGCTAGGATAGTCTTTCAAATTCAGATCACTTTGTACTTTGAAAATAAAGAGGCTTTCCCACTACAAAAAAGTGAAATTTTCTGAACACACGTTTCCTACATTTTAAAGCTAAACGACTGTTTCCGAAGGTGGTAACTTTTCCCTTACAAAGTAAATAACAAGCAAAGAGCACTCACTGCCTCATAACTTTCAGCACACCATACGGCAACCTGGAGCCCTTCGAGTGAGAGCCTCCATCCCTGAATTTGTCCTTAAAATATTTTTTTTAAAGCGAGAATCTAAAAATCAAAAGCTGTTGTTGAAATTTAACACCCTGCTGGATATAATTTCCCTCGTACAACAACAAGTAGAGAGGATGTATTCTACATCTACAAATGAAGGAAACTAGTTCAAATCCCCCTCAGATTCAAACTCCAAACTTAAGCGCAGAAGACAAAGCCTGTAAACCCTACTAACACCACGGCGGTCAGCTCAACTAACAGGTCTCGATTGAAAGACTCACAGTTCTGGAAGGCCAGTATGGCAGGGTGGGATATCCTAATGTGAAAACCTGCACTACAACAGGTCCCGCCTGCTTTGTTTATGTGAGGTCAATCAGCAGACAGCAGACAAACCACAGGTAGCACCGGGGAATGAACAAAGCCAGTAACCCCTCTCCTCCTTTGCTTCTTCAACCCCAGACTAATTCTTACTCCTAAAAACAATTAAAATCAAAGCCGTGCACCTCTTTTACCATAATAATTCTTTCCTCTCAACTCAAGTGACACTAAATAATTTTTAGGCTAGAGTTGCGCCTCTTTGAGTTACTTAAGTGTTTCATTGTTCAAATCCTGATTGTATTGAGGATCCAGTAGACCTTTTTCTACGACATAGTAAAAGCAGCAGCACATCAACATCATAGGGGTCACTCAGTGCTGGAAGAAGCAAGGCAGACACAAAGAAAGAAATGGAGAGATAGTAAAATAGTAAAGAACCAACCAGCAGAGCCCTCCGACCACGCACATGAAAAAATTGAACAGGAATTACATCATCATATCGATATCAATATCATCCACATAATGGCCGTGTCGGAAAACATTACCAGAGGCACCATGAACACATCACAAAGAGAAATAGTGCTTTTGCTTTGCTACACAAAATTGCATACAAGAGAAACCAAGACGATGGTATAACGAACAGAGCAAACCACCAGTCTGCATTACAAAGTTATACATTCAAACTGTTGAAGAAGATTGACATATCGGTCAAAGCAGAGAAGTTGCAACAAACAAATAAAAAATACATTGTCAACAGTAAAAAATAAAATAGGCCTTTGTCTTGCAAGAATGAAATTTTTTTCAAAACCGTTAATGATTTGTCGATATACAAAGATGCTGCAAGCATACACCAGCAGACGTTATGAGCAAATCAAAATAATTTTTGTAAAAATGACAAACATGCCATCTGCCTCTTCACACCTTTACAATTTGCCATTAAAAAATACACGCAACATAATGTGCCTTGGCACTTTCAAATTTTCATCTGAAAACAACAAAATCACTTGTCGGGTCATTAAAAAATAAGGAAAATACTTCAATAAAACAGAAGATTTCTACAAGAGAACACAAGATAAAAAAGAAACAATATACACAAAATGAACTTGCAACAGATTATAACAAAACGAAAAATATTTGTTCTTACTGAACTGTGACCTTTGACTTTCACTTTGGAAGCTGTAACTGCTCTCCGCATTCCCACCCCAACTCCTGTGTGACACAACCAGTCAACACAAGCCACAATTCACCAGAGACAAAGGAGGGAAATATAGCCTTATCTACACCCCACATATTACCCAGCTTATTCAATGACCAGTCAGTTCAAAATATACATTTGGTTTTACATAAGAGTTGTCCGACAATTGATCAATGGATATATGTTGCCAAACAGAAAATAAGAGCCACTGGTAATATAGAAAAGTTCTGAATCACTGCAAAATAAATTTCTCAGAAGAATGAATACAGATGTCTTTTCTTTCATTTTTAATTTTCTTGACGTCATCAAACAGATTGGTAGTTTTCACAACAGTGAATTACAGTACTCCTAGCCACTTTACATAAATCCAAACGTGTCCGAATCTCCATACATTTTATCAAGCCACCAAGTTTGACTGGCTGAACAACATATCAAAAGTCTCATCACCTTTCCATATTTGTTCAGCTCAAATTTTCTTAAAACAAAAATAGAGATTATATGATATCTTTGCAATCAGCTATTGACCATGACATCCACTGTTCTTAAAAACATTAATTTCTTTTACTTAAACAAACAAAACTTAAATGGGAAAAAAAAAAAAAAAGAAAGAAAAAGAAAGTCTCTAAATCACTCCCGTCTGTGAATATTCACACAACCAGCACATACAGGCCAGAAGCACACACATCGTAAGCACAGTTGGCATGGCCTCGAAAGGTGTGTTGTCATATTATTTGGTCTTCGTGCTCTCTGGAGCAGATGCGCTTCGCTTCATCGGGCAACCTGGAGGAGGGGGAAAATGTAAGCATGAGCCACAGAAACAACCATTTTTGAAAGACAGATGTTGTGATGACAACTGATGCAGTACAAAAAATGTCTGATCAACATCTGCCTCCAAGTGTTTGACCTGTAGGACATAGACCTACCAACCTTTGAAAAGCAGAAACATGAATCTGAGACCTCACAATTTAAGACTTCAGATAAAAATTGAAAGTTGACAACAACAAAAAGGGAAGTTGCACAGTATGAAGCCTATGCCAGTCTCAATGTGGACACATGCAAGTTGTATGTTGTGGATACATAAATTTCTTCAACTAGAATTATTCTGGCCGTACGCAGTTATGTGGCTGGAAATAAGCACGACCTTCTAGGTTGTAGTATATGTGAGGTGTGCTGACAAAATGAGTTACTTCTCGCAATCCACAAATGGAGACATTGGCCAAAAATAGACACTAGGGTCAAATTTGTAGATTTTCTATTCGTGCCATATTCTTTAAGTATAACATGCCTTTTATTATTTCATACGGACTTATAAATTGTAAAAACTCCCCCTATACATATATAAGCATGATGTACTGTTTCCATAAATAAGGCTTGAATCCGAGAAGTAACTCATTTTGTCAGCACGCTTCACATATGGTGCTCTTCAAGTTCATCTCCAATAGGACCTAACCAAGTGGTCAGACAACTGTAAGTCTCAGGTTTTCCAACTTCTTCAAAACACAATCTGGGACGGCAAAGTCATTCATCAGATTAGATTACATAACAACAAAAACAATCTCATCACGTGAGAATGGGTTTTGGTGTGGCGTTCGTGATAAAGCTCTCAAACTCCTGATTGCCAAAAGAGGAAATTCAGGGTAGTCCAAGGACATTTGAGACAGTTCGTAATCAAGATAGTTCTAAAGTGCCCTGCTGGGGACTCTAATCAGGTTAACCCTTACCTCAATCCAGAATGACATCGACTGACCTAACTGCATAATCCATGTGAATCTAAGAGAGTTTGAGTTTGAGTGTAGAGAAGCACATCAACACAATAACGGTCATTTAGTACGCGAAGAAGCTAGACGGACAGACAGACAAAAACAAAGGAGGGAAAGAAAAGAAATAGTAGAATCTACCAGGGGCACCCCTCAACCACCCACTTAAGAGCTTTTATTTTTCTCTCACATTTCAAATGTACACATGACATGAATTAATTTTGAGATCGTTTCTCTTCCTCACCTTTCGAGATCCCCGACAGCTGGTGGATAGCCTTGTTGTCATAGACCTCTACCTTGTCGCCGGCCACCATGCCGTTGTTGATCATGGCCAATGCCATCACCTTGACGGGTGTGGTGACAGCCGTCGGGAAGAAGTAGGACACTGGACGGAGCAGGGTGCGCAAGGTCGCCTCCATGGGGCGGCTCTCCTGGCGGTCGACCATCAAGAGTCTGGCGTAGATATTGTAAATGTTATCTATTGTCAATGCTTTACGATCCCACCAACACAATTTAGATCAGAGCTTGTCAACCTTTTTACAGCCACCACCCACTTTTGCCACCTGCAAGAAGTTTAAAAATCTTCTTGCCACCCACCTTTATGCAGATACATAAATGATCCCCATCGCCCACCAAAATTACCAAATTGCACACAGTTGGCGAGCACTGATTTACAAATAGATCCTTTAAGAGGCAGGCTGCTTCCACCCTGCCTGCCATGGCCAACCTGGAGTGAGTGGGATACCACATCCAAGTAGACAGATGGAGATACTCTGTTAAAAATAAACTTCCCATTTTGAAACTGAGCTCGTGTCTTTCTTTAGCATGCTGCAGTGAAGGAACTAACAACTAAACGGCAAACACCGGGAGGAGACTGGTAGACAGACGAACAAGTAAATCTGACAGATATTTTTCAACACCATCAAATTATTTAAGAGAAGTGACTTTTGAAATAAACGTTATCTCCAATAGGACTGAATTGTATAGGTAGAGAGCCTTAAAAACCCCTGTAACATGCTAGTTTCAAGAATACTCCTGTCAAGAATCCAACAAAGATCTGCACCAAAGCCCAATATGATACCAACAGAGAAGGGGGAGGGAGGGGGGGAGGGACCCCAAGAGAAGAGGACCACCTTGTCATGGTACCCAAAGACACACATAAAGAACCACTATCTGGACATAAAGTGGGCCTATAAATAACTTTCATGTTCTGTAGCTTTTCATTGGTTAACACTCAACTGGTCATAAGTCAAATCGCTTCTCTTTTAGCCCAAAGTCTAAGATTATACAAATCATTTAAAAGGGGCATCATAGTCTAGTGACAACGAGTTGATCGATAAAAAAAAGTTTTCCCACTATGGAATCAAACTCATGTCTTCTGCTAAAAACTTAATCATATCCCCAACACAGACAACAGTTGGTGCACACTAATAAGCCAAAGGAGTTACAAAAGTATTACAAAGTCGATATGGCACATATTTAATCTTCTTCTTCTTTTTCAAGTGCCAGACCTCAAAGATCAAGGTTTGTGACTCATTTCTAAACTGCTTCTGTGGTGTAGCAGTTTGGTGCTTCATTGTTGGATGCAGATCACATGAGATCAATCCCCAAGCGGAAAGAATTTTTGTAGAGCGCTTCAGTCTTTTTGATGGAACGTTGTATCCCTCTCAAACGGGTTTGGCCCTGACAGGCATGTTCAAAGCCTGCCTTCTAGATGATCAAAATTGTGTCGATGGGGGGTGTAAAACGCCTACATTTAAAAGAAGAAAAAAAATGTTTTCTAAGCTTGGATGATCTCACAAAATCTAGGTTAGTATCGTCTTTTCTTTTCTCCCACCTGTGTGTATCAATTTGTTTTTCCGATTTTATCGGCCGCTTATACCCTTTTGGGTGTCGCGGTGTGTGTACATCAATAAATCTAAAAAAAATGAATAAGCCCTTTTAACATGCACACTAGATCGTACCCGGGTCGGTAGATGGACAAGCGGTCAAAATGCATCACTTTCAGGGCCTCCTCCACCTGGCCCTGAGGAGAAGAAAAAAAATAACATCATCAAAATGCTCTACTCTTTGTCACACAAAGCTTGCTGTCCTTTGTTCAGAGCAAAAACAAAACTGACAAAACCTGTAAAAAAACAAAGCACATGACCGTCGCCTTCTCTCTTTCTCTCTCTCTGTCTCTCTCTCTCTCTCTCTCTCTCTCTCTCTCTCTCTCTCTCTCTCTCTCCCATCTGCGGATAATTTCAGAATTTTCCTCACCAACTTACTACAATAACTGTGAAGCCCGCGCACAATTCACAGTTTCAGAACACCCCGGGACTTCGTCAATACACCATGTATATAGTATAATAATACATCACGAATTCATGAAACGAACACAATCCTCAAGAGCTGTCAGTGTGGATTCACATCATCTGTTATTTGTTATCGATGGTGTTATATTCTCACAATGAAACTGAAGGAAATAGGTCATCTCTATATTGCTTTTTGTTTTGTTGTTGTAGGGGGTCTTTTTGTTGGGTTTTTTCTTTTGTTCTTTTTTCTTTTAGGGAGGGGGGGGGTGATATTGTTGTTTT